TTGCAAAGTACATCACCTCACAATTAGCAGAGTTAAATACCATCTGCCACTGGTCTGCCCATCTGACCAACACATCTCTTTCTTCCTATGAACTGCAATAATCTTCTTTGCTATTAACCACTCTACCTATCTTGGTGTCATCTGCAAATTTGCTTAACATGCCCCCCACATTTTCATCTGTATCATTGATGTAAAAAACAAACAATAAGGGTCCTAGTACTGATCCTTGTGGTATACTGCTAGACACCGGCCTCCAGTCACTTGAACAGCCTTCTACCACTACCCTTTGTGTCCTATTACTAAGCCAGTTTCTGATCCATCTCTCCAAGTTTCCCTCAATTCCATGTGCTTTAACCTTCTTACTCAGTCTCCCATGTGGGACCTTGTCAAAAGCTTTGCTAAAATCCATATAAATCATATTAACTGAACTTCCCTCAGCCATACGCTTGATCACATTTTCAAAAAATTCTAACAAATTTGTGAGGAATGACCTCCATCTGACAAAGCCAAGCTGACCACCCCTAATTAACCCACGCCTTTGAAAGTGTGTCTTAATTCACTTCTTCAGAATTTTCTCCAATAGTTTCCCTACCACTGATGTGAGACCCATCAGTCTATAACTTCCTGGTTCATCTCTCCCACCCCTCTTAAAAAGTGGAATCACATTAGCCATCCTTCAGACCTCTGACACATCTCCCATAGCCAGAGAGAAATTAAAAATTTGTGTCAGAGACCCTGCAATTTCCTGCCTCGCCTCCCACAAAGGTACTTTATCCCCACTAGCGAAAATATGAATTTTTGATCACTTGTCTGCTTCCTGTTTCATCACGTGCTGTGTTAATTTTAAATGCTATCTAGCCAACTCACCTGCTGTATTTAATCTCTCCCTAAAATATGACACATGATCCAATAATGTCGTCTCTAAACATTGACTTACCAATTCTTCCTTAAGTAATTTGTGGTCCTCTCACCTCAATTCCGAAACTAATTCAAATGGACTGAATTTAATTGATTTATTAGCTGCAATACCTAATCACAAGAAGTACAAATGGAATTCCTTTATTCTTGACTGTAGGCTCTCAACATTGTCTCTAAGGTTTGACACCACCATTCTAATGCTCCCTGCGATTCTGGTTGGTACGCAGTTGATTTAAGTTGTTTTACTCCTAACCTATCCATAATTACCTTGATTAATTTTTACCTTAATTAATTAAGGAAAATTTGAGTAACTCTTCTACTACCTTTTTAGTCATGATATTGCACAGTGGAATCAGCCATGATCTTATTAAATGGCGGGTCAGACTCGAGGGGCCAGATGGCCTACTCCTGCTCCTAGTTCTTATGTTCTTATGTTATGAATGCCTTCTGGAAATCTTGTAGTGCATTCATTATTGTCACCAAGTATTGATTCCCGCTTTTTTTTTAGGGAGGGGACCTATGCAATCAATTAAGACTCTTGAAAAGAATCCTCAGATGCTGGAAAGCGTATTAAAGGTGCTGATTTTAACACTGCCTGAGGTTTTTCTATTATCTGACATATGTGACATGTCTGTCAAAATTCTACCACATCTTTATGCAGTCCAAGCTAATGAAAATGTTTTTGTATTTTGGCTTGAGTTTTCCCCACTCCCAAATGACTTCCTACTGGTACCTTATGTGCTACTTGCAATACCTCCTTTCTATAACCCACCAGTAATACAACAATTTCTGCCCATTTCTCATGCCCCTGAACATATGATGGTCTCTATTTCCTCATCAAGGCTTCATTTTTAAAATAGTAACATTCTGGGATACACCCAAATTTGTCTTGTTCGTATGCTTTTTGATACAACTGCTTTATCTTTCCAGTTTTCTATTGTAATTAAGCTGACTTCACTGAACTATATCCAAGGTTCTTGGAGTAGATTTGTAGCTCGGGTTGTGGATGCTGTAGTTGGTTCGCTCGCCGAGTTGGTTTGTTAGCTTGTTCACAGACATTTCATTACCCTGCTGGGTAACATCATCAGTGCAGCCTCCCATGAAGTGCTGTTGTGTTTTCCCGCCTGGTATTTAAACTCTGGGGTCTGTTGGAATTGGTTACCTCATTTCTGGTTTTTCTTCGCAGTGGTGTATATATAGGGTCTAATTCTACGTGTTTATTGATGGCCTTCTTGGTGAAGAACTAAGCCTCTAGAAATTCCCGTGCTTGTCTCTGTTTGAGCTGTCCTAGGATCATGATGTTATCACACGGATAAGGAGAACCACCAATTCGATTGGGACAATATCAGGATCCAAGGACAAGCCAAACAGAGTCAAGCACAGAATTTCTTGAGGCTTGGTTCTCCACCAAGAAGGCTTCTGGCACTAGTTCATGTGCATTTAAGATGGCTTTTTCACCTCCTCATACTCCTCAATTACCTGACTAGCCCATCTACCAACTTTGTTTGAATCAACAATACCTACATGGTCAGTTGTCATTTCATTTGACTAGCGTCTTTCTCAAATGAAATGGAGAAGGCTTCTGTGTCCATTTTGTTGAATCCTAGCAATATTTAAACGGATCCTCACCAGGCCTTTGGCTACAGTGGGTTTGCTGTTCATCACTGTCCTCATCATTAGTCCCAACTTCTGTCTCTTCCTCCGCCATTTTATGTCGACTTTGACTCTTCAGTCCAACCTGCAGAGTTCAAAAGTTCTCTCCTTCTGCTTTTCTTCTCTATACTTTTAATCATAATTCAAACTATTTCATTTCCTTTTCAATCTGTTTTAATTCTTTTGCTCATTATTCCGTGACAATTATCTCTCACTATTACTTTTGCCTCTCTTTCTTTGCTTTTTGCCTTTAAGTCAAGCAGTTTCATTTTCAATTAAATTTTAGCTATTTCCCATGATTCAAATTACATTTTGGTCAATTGTAGATGTTAAGCTATAACTGCAATTATCTTCCCTTTCTCCTCACAGGCACAGGCAGCCCCAACTTCAGCTTGTCTGTCAGATTCCATAGAATATTTCCATTGAATCCCTACAGTGTGGAATCAGGCCATTTAGCCCAATAGGTCCATACCAACGCTCCAAAGAGCATCCCACCCAGACCTATCCCATCCCTGTAATCTTGCATTTACCATGTCTAACCCACCTACACCTCTGAACACGTTGGGCAATTTAGCATGTGCAATCCGCCTAACTTGCATGTCTTTGGACTGAGAGGAAACCAAAGCACCTGGTGGAAACCCACGCAGGCACAGGGAGAGCATGTAGTCTCCACACACAGCCACCCGAGGGTGGAATTGAACCCAGGTCCCTGGCACTGTGAGGTAGCAGTGCTAGCCACTGTGCTGCCCACAATTACGAAAGGTCTGCCTTCTTCACCTTCTCTAAACCACCCAAAGTGACTGCTTCCACACCTAGGAAAATCTTAGCCTCTAGAAGAGCCATTATTATGCAAGCCTATGTAGCACTTGAAAAGAGAACACCAAAACTCATCACTCATTGTCTTTGAGTCCAATAATCCTGAACCCAACCTGGAATTAGAGATTTTGATCTCCCTTTTGGATGGTACAGCGATTCAGTGGTTAGTACCACTGCCTCAGAGTTTCAGGGACCCGGGTTCGATTCCAGCCTTGGGCAACTGTCCATGTGGAGTTTGTACATTCTCCCCATGTCTGTGTGGGTATCCTCTGGGTGCTCTGGTGTTCTCCCATGGTCCAAGGTTGTATAGAATACACATCTAAATTGCCCACAGAGCCCAGGGATATGGGTTAAACATTGTAAATGCAGGGTTGCAGGGATAGGGTAGGGGGGGTAGGTCTGGGAGGGATGCTGTTTGGAGGTTTGGTGTGGACTTGATTGGCTGAATGGCCTACTTCCACACTGTAGGGGTTCTATGATTCTGTGATCCTGGATTAGAGCCCCCAGTTTGTTATGGACCAAACGGGACCTCCCCTGCCCTAAAGTATTGTAAGGAGATTGCCTAGACCCTAAGATTTATATTTAAAGATAAGTGTAAGTTGCTGTATTCCAGATATGATTCATTTGGTCCTTCACTACGCTTTAATAAAAACACAGTAAAAGTACAAATAAAAAGATATGGCAGAGCTTTAACTCTATAGAAATATTTATGAAGATAATGTATTATTCAACTACAAATCACCAACTGTTCCAATATAGGCAGCATCCCACAAACACACCCTTTGGCAAAAATACAATTCAGCAAAACAGTTCTATTTATCACGTGCTGTCTCTCTCCAGTCCAGAAGAAAGAAACAATCTGTCCCTTTTGGTTTTTAAGAAGAAGGCTTGCTGTCTTAAGTCTTCAATAAGCAGCCAGGAACTCGAGCATTTAGCCAGCAGAAAACCTTCTAACTGAAAGCAGAACTAAAAGCCTTCTTGGTTCTGTGTGAGCTCTGACCCCACCCACTTATGATTCTTTTGTCACATTTCACTCAGGCAGAATACCAACTGCCTGTATGAAGGAAACTTTTCGGCACCACTGTGGCAACATCTTTCTGTAAGAGAAAAAGGACAGAATGCATCTCTCGTAAAGGCACAGTACTGTCACACAAGGGGATCAAAGGTTAAATGGAGAAGACAGAAGAAATGTATTAGCCATGATTGAAATGTAAAGCAGACCCGATCAGCAGAATTGCCTAATTCTGCTCCTGTATCTTGGGGAAGACTGGTCTAAATATCAATATCAAATACCCATTAGGTATTCTCACCTTTCATCAAGATACACTTGCAATAAAATTAGGTTGCACTTTTCTTGACTACCACTTTTGATGTGATTCACCCCTCAGCTTATTTTATTTCAAGCCCTTATAAACAGCAGCAGAATCTGCTGTATTGATGGCTCTCTAATTGTAATATATGCAACATACTTGGTTTAATAATTAAACAGCATCACAGTAACAACTTGGGATCATTTACTTTCATCAGTCTCAGGCTATACTAATTCCAAATGTTGTGCAGTCTTTTGCATGTTACAGATGAATACAGATGTTGATCATTTTTTTCTTCTTCAGTGAGCCAATCAAAGCAGATGTTCTTTTTATCCATGGTCTGCTGGGGGCAGCTTTCAAAACATGGCGACAGAAGGACCAAAGTGATATGGAGGATAAGGATGCTAATTACACAGAATGTTGGCCAAAGGTACCTATGAAATCTGTCTGAACTGTTTGGATTTGACAACCTTTTGTTTGATCACTTTGATATTATACTTACCCAACTATGAATGTAGTAGCTCATTTGTGCACGAAAGAAATAATTTAGCTTGTTGCTGCAGTGGTTATTTTTTCTTAATAATTCAATGCCCTGCTTTTCTTCTTAGGCCTGCAATTTTTCCCTTGCAATTATTTATTCAATTTCCTTTAGAACTTTACTATTAAATCTGCTTCTGGCATCTCTTCAGATATCTGAATGTCAGTATTATATATTTTGAATATCAGCATATTTAATTATTCATCGTGAAGGTTCCCAAAGACCTTTTGTTGCCAAAAGCGTTGTATAGTTGATGCATAATAAATTTACAAACCCAGCATGGGTGTAAGATAAAACCAATGAAATGGTCCTTCCTGAGGACTCAACCAAGTCTGAAATTTTCATTTATTTCACTGGTGAATGATCTCTTTATGATTTGAGCCATCTTCACTCATGGAATGAACAGTGTGTTGCCTTATATTACTGTGCACGTGGCTACAGGGATGGTGCAGGAGGGAGGGATTCAGATACCTGGATAATTGGGGTTCATTCTGGGGAAGGTGGGACCTCTACAAACGGGATGGTCTACACCTGAACCAGAGGGGTACCAATATCCTGGGGGGGAAATTTGCTAATGCTCTTCGGGAGGGTTTAAACTAATTCAGCAGGGGGATGGGAACCTGAATTGTAGCTCCAGTGTACAGGAGGTTGACGGTAGTGAGTTCATAAATAAGGTATCAAGGTCACAGGAGTGTACCGGCAGGCAGGAAGGTGGTTTGAAGTGTGTCTACTTCAATGCCAGGAGCATCCAGAATAAGGTGGGTGAACTTGTAGCATGGGTTGGTACCTGGGACTTCGATGTTGTGGCCATTTCGGACACATGGATGGAGCAAGGCCAGGAATGGTTGTTGCAGGTTCCGGGGTTTAAATGTTTCAGTAAGATCAGGGAAGGTGGTAAAAGAGGGGGAGGTGTGGCATTGTTAGTCAAGGACAGTATTACGGTGGCAGAAAGGATGTTTGATGAGGACTCGTCTACTGAGGTAGTATGGGCTGAAATTAGAACCAGGAAAGGAGAGGTCACCCTGTTGGGAGTTTTCTATAGGCCTCCGAAAAGTTCCAGAGATGTAGAGGAAAAGATTGCAAAGATGATTCTGGATAGGAGCGAAAGTAACAGGATAGTTGTTATGGGGTCTTTAACTTTCCAAATATTGACTGGAAACGCTATAGTTCGAGTACTTTAGATGGGTCAGTTTTTGTCCAATGTGTGCAGGAGGGTTTCCTGACACAGTACGTAGATAGGCCAACAAGAGGCGAGGCCACATTGGATTTGGTACTGGGTAATGAACCAGGCCAGGTGTTAGATTTGGAGGTAGGTGAGCACTTTGGTGATAGTGACCACAATTCAGTTACGTTTACTTTAGTGATGGAAAGGGATAGGTATATACCGCAGGGCAAGAGTTATAGCTGGGGGAAAGGCAATTATGAGGCGATTGGGCAAGATTTAGGATGCATAGGATGGAGACGGAAACTGCAGGGGCTGGGCATAATTGAAATGTGGAGCTTGTTCAAGGAACAGCTACTGCGTGTCCTTGAGAAGTATGTACCTGTCAGGCAGGGAGGAAGTGGTCGAGCGAGGGAACCATGCTTTACTAAAGAAGTTGAATCTCTTGTCAAGAGGAAGAAGGAGGCTTATGTAGAGATGAGGCGTGAAGGCTCAGTTAGGGCGCTTGAGAGTTACAAGTTATCCAGGAAGGACCTAAAGAGAGAGCTAAGAAGAGCCAGGAGGGGACATGAGAAGTCTTTAGCAGGTAGGATCAAGGAAAACCCTAAAGCTTTCTATAGGTATGTCAGGAATAAAAGAATGACGAGAGTAAGATTAGGGCCAGTCAAGGACAGTAGTGGGAAGTTGTGCGTGGAGTCTGAAGAGATAGGAGAGGCGCTAAATGAATATTTTTCGTCAGTATTCACACAGGAAAAAGACAATGTTGTCGAGGAGAATACTGAGATACAGTCTATTAGACTAGACGGGATTGAGGTTCATAAGGAGGAGGTGTTAGCAATTCTGGAAGGTGTGAAAATAGATAAGTCCCCTGGGCCGGATGGGATTTATCCTAGGATTCTCTGGGAAGCTGGAGAGGAGATTGCAGAGCCTTTGGCGTTGATCTTTATGTCGTCATTGTCTTCAGGAATAGTGCAAGAAGACTGGAGACTAGCAAATGTTGTCCCCTTGTTCAAGAACGGGAGTAGAGACAACCCTGGTAATTATAGACCAGTGAGCCTTACTTCGGTTGTGGGTAAAGTGTTGGAAAGGATTATAAGAGATAGGATTTATAATCATCTAGAAAGGAATATGATTAGGGATAGTCAACACGGTTTTGTGAAGGGTAGGTCGTGCCTCACAAACCTTATTGAGTTCTTTGAGAAGGTGACCAAACAGCTGGATGAGGGTAAAGCGGTTGATGTGGTGTATATGGATTTCAGTAAAGCATTTGATAAGGTTCCCCATGGTAGGCTATTGCAGAAAATACGGAGGCATGGGATTGAGGGTGATTTAGCAGTTTGGATCAGAAATTGGCTAGCTGTAAGAAGACAGAGGGTGGTGGTTGATGGGAAATGTTCATCTTGGAGTTCAGTTACTAGTGGTGTACCTCAAGGATCTGTTTTGGGGCCACTGCTGTTTGTCATTTTTATAAATGACCTGGATGAGGGCGTAGAAGGATGGGTTAGTAAATTTGCGGATGACACCAAAGTCGGTGGAGTTGTGGATAGTGCGGAAGGATGTTGCAGGTTACAGAGGGACATAGATAAGCTGCAGAGCTGGGCTGAGAGGTGGCAAATGGAGTTTAATGTGGAAAAGTGTGAGGTGATTCACTTTGGAAGGAGTAACAGGAATACAGAGTACTGGGCTAATGGTAAGATTCTTGGTAGTGTGGATGAGCAGAGAGATCTCGGTGTCCATGTGCATAGATCACTGAAAGTTGCCACCCAGGTTGATAGCGTTGTTAAGAAGGCGTACGGTGTGTTAGGTTTTATTGGTAGAGGGATTGAGTTTCGGAGCCATGAGGTCATGTTGCAGCTGTACAAAACTCTGGTGCGACCGCACTTGGAGTATTGCGTACAGTTCTGGTCACCGCATTATAGGAAGCATGTGGAAGCATTGGAAAGGGTGCAGAGGAGATTTACCAGGATGTTGCCTGGTATGGAGGGTAGGTCTTATGAGGAAAGGCTGAGGGTCTTGAGGCTGTTTTCGTTAGAGAGAAGAAGGTTAAGAGGTGACTTAATAGAGACATACAAGATGATCAGAGGATTAGATAGGGTGGACAGTGGGAGCCTTTTTCCTCGGATGGTGATGGCTAGCACGAGGGGACATAGCTTTAAACTGAGGGGTGATAGATATAGGACAGATGTCAGAGGTAGGTTCTTTACTCAGAGTGTAGTAAGGGTGTGGAATGCCCTGCCTGCAAAAATAGTAGACTCGCCAACTGTAAGGGCATTTAAATGGTCATTGGATAAACATATGGATGATAATGGAATAGTTTCGGTTTGATGGGCTTCAGATTGGTTTCACAGGTCGGTGCAACATCGAGGGCCGAAGGGCCTGTACTGCGCTGTAATGTTCTATGTTCTGTGTGCAAAGTAAACCACTGTTGGATTTATGGCAATGATTCGTAGAGTCAATTTATGTCGAAGAACTTGTGTGTTAAATAAATTCTTGCACTTGTAAAAGGGTTTAGCGGCCTATTTTGACACTTTCAGGCTTGCACAGTTTGTTTTTGAACATGAAAGACCAGAAAGCTCAAATAGAGTAATTCTTCTTAGTCCACCATCAGAATTTAAGTGAGCTCAGGTTTCAGGACCATGATTTTCCCTAATTTCATACTTAGAGTGTTCGAGTGTTGTGAGATCAATCAAGCTATTCAGTGGTGTTTTTGTTCTCTTCGATCCTAAATTGTGTAACTCATCTATAGGGAAAGCATTCATCCCAAGGAGGCAGGTAACCAATTTTCATAATTCAAGGCTGATCCTCCTGGTCTGCAAAGTGGTTGCCAACTAAACAGCCTCCCTTTGGCTGAAAAGGAGCAAGGTTTTGTGAAACAAAGAAAAGGCTGTGAGTCGAGAGGTACATTACAATTTTATGCTTCAACATTGAGTTCAACAATTTCAAGTCACAGCTATTATTCTTATTTTATTGAACAACAGCTGTTAATAAGGATTCTGCTATTACCAGTTATTACTCCCATAGACCAATCTTTCTTTCTTTCTTTGTTTATCCCAAGTCATCCTGTTATGCCTCGTGCATTATTCCTTTTGGAATTGATTGTTTTTCTTGCTTTTCATCTTTGTCATAGACATTCCATTTATTCTTTTCCCCTCTAGCTCTTTTCCTGTATATGCATCTCTCCATAGATTCTCCATTTTCAGAGCTTTCTGTTTTCAAATTTCCAGTAACTGCAAAATTTTGCTTTTGTGTTACTAGCTTCTACTTTAAGTTTCTACATTTTTTTTCTGTATTACCTTTGGGAAAATAATAGGATCTTTACTGCATCACTGATGTTTAAAAACATTGTGTTAGTTTGCCTCAGCAGAGTGTTTTATTTGATGTGGCAATGCCAAAGTTATCTCCCATATCATAAGAAACAAGGTATGGATAAAGCGGTATTGAAGATTCCAGCAAATGTTCATTGCAACTAACTATTATATACAAACACTACATGCTTTAGACACATAAGTGTCCGGGTTTGCGTTAAATTATTATGTTACAACAAAGGAACATGCTTACTGTAGATTGTCATGCCTCAGGTGATCCAAGGTAAGATGGAGTCTTAGATTTCTTTTATCCTCAGATCACATAGTACGATGTGATGCTGATATGATGAGCATGTTTCGTAAAGGTGTATTGACAAACTGACATTGAGCCACAATACAGCAAAATGCTCTCTGGAATAAAAATA